CCCAGCCCCTCTGCCGCCCGGCCGGCCTGCTCCCACGGCCACCTGCCTCCCGAGCCCTCCGGCACCGGGTCCGAGAGGCAAAGAGCCTCAGGTCACCGGCCCCGGGCAGAAGCCGCGGCAGGACCCTGGCGTCCCTGATGGCACTCGGGGGGCTTCCTCAGAGGGACCCCACCCGTGTGAGCCCACCAGGCCGGGCCCGGCCCTTCCAGCATCCGGGTGACACGGGAGCCGGGCCCCACAGCCTGGACGCCCACGCGTGTCCTCCCACGCCCGGGCGGCGGGCCTCACTTGAGCGAGGGCGCCGTGCGGTTGGAGCTCTTGGCCGCGGGCTCGGCGGGCGTGTGGTTGTTGTGCACCATGGCGGTGACGCAGTTGCCCACGGCCGCCTTGTTGCTCCTGCGTGAGACGGAGGGGGGTCAGGTCCCCGAGTCCCTCTGGCCGTGTGCCCCCCCCTCCCCCTTCAGGACGGAGGCCCGCCTGCGCCCGGGGCAGAGCCGGAGTGTGAGGGCGCCCCTGCAGCCCCTGCGGGCCTGGGGAGAGAGCCAGTCACTCACTCACTCATCCACTCATTCATCGACTCACTCACTCATCCACTCATTCATCGACTCACTCACTCATCCACTCATTCATTCACTCACTCACTCATCCACTCATTCATTCACTCACTCACTCACTCATTCACTCACTCACTCCCTACTCACTCACTCACTCATCCACTCATTCACTCACTCATCCACTCATTCATTCACTCACTCACTCACTCATTCACTCACTCACTCCCTACTCACTCACTCACTCATCCACTCATTCACTCACTCATCCACTCATTCATTCACTCACTCACTCACTCATTCACTCACTCACTCCCTACTCACTCACTCACTCATCCACTCATTCACTCACTCATCCACTCATTCATTCACTCACTCACTCACTCACTCACTCATTCCACTCACTCACTCACTCATTCACTCACTCATTCACTCATCCATTCATTCATGCACTCATTCATTCACTCACTCATTCCACTCACTCACTCATCCACTCGCTCGCTCATTAATTCACTCACTCATTTACTCACTCCTTTTTTCACTCACTCTTTCACTCGTCCACACTCTCTCTCTCCCGCCTTCACTCACCCACGTGTTCACTCACTCCTCATGCACTCCGGAGCGCTCCTGTCTGGCCACAAACAGGACGAAGCACCTGCCCCCTGTGGCGGGCCACGTGGGCACCTGCCAGGCGCACCTGTTGTTGGCAGTGAAGCTGGGAGCCAGGGGGACGGTGCCCTCTCTCCTCCGTGGGCCCGCCGGCGCGTCCAGGGCACAGGGACTCCGGGCGGCGGGCGGCGAGGGCAGGGCCCGGGGCTGGTCGTCCTGGGGTGAACCAAACGCTTCAGCCGAGAAGGGACACCGCCCCACGGCTGAGCCCGCCCTCCCTGCCCACGGCCATCGCATAGCCCGGCCGGAGGGAACCCCGCTGCTCCGATGGAGCGTGTGGTCAGGGCGGCCACCCCTCCGTCCCCGACAGGGGAGCGGACAGGGGAGCGGACGGCGGAGCGGACAGGGGAGCGGACGGCGGAGCGGACGGGAGCGGACAGGGGAGCGGACGGCGGAGCAGGCGTCTCGGGCCCAGCGCCGGCCTCACCAGGACGTTCCACGTGGCCGCCTTCTCGCTGGAGGCGCCGCTCACACCGGTGGGGCTGCTCTCGTGGAGCGTCAGGCAGTCGGGGGGCTCGGCCGGCCTGGCGGGGACAGCGGCGGGACGGTCGGGCACAGGGGGACGGGGCACCGGCAGGGAGTTCTGTCCCCGCCCGGGCCACGGCCCCTGGAAAAGCCGCCGGAGGAGGGGCGGGCAGGCAGGGGCGTCGGCCCCAAGCCCCCCCCCCCCTCCGCGCAGGGACCACGGGTCCGGACACGACCTGCCCGCCCCCAGACTGGCCCCACTGTCCGGCCGGTGCCCACCCTGGCGAGGCCCGGAGAAGGGCTGACAGGCGGGACGGGAGCAAGCGGGGTCAGAGGTTGCCTGAGGGGTCGGGTTACCTGGGGGGGCCGGCCCACGCCTGCCGGGCTTGTGGCTGGTGGACCTGCGTGGTGCTGCTGGACCGGCGAAGGTTGTTGATGGGCCCCGTGGCCTCCTGCAGAGAGGACACAGCGAGCTCGTGGCCCCGGCCCCGCTCACGCCGTGCTGGGCCGGCGAGGGGGCGAGGGGGGGCAGGAGCAGCGGGGCCGCCATCAGCCTCCCTCTGGAAAGAAGGGGGAGCCCCCCCCCCCCAGAGACGCCTGGAGCTCACTGCCCGCCAGCTCCCCGGCCTCCAGGAGCCTGTCCTGCCCGCTGCCCGTGGATTTAAACAAACCCCAGGACGATGGAGGACGAGAACTTGGCGGGAGCTTGGCCCCCGCCCTCGCCAAGCTCCCGCCTGGCCCTTCCTGCACTCCAGGTGGCCGCGGGGCTGGGGGCGGAGCGCACCGGGGTCAGACGCCCCCGAAGGCCACTCCCGTGGGGTGCGAGCCGGGGACCCCACGCCCACCCCCGCTCGCTCACCATCGCCTTCCTCTTCGGCTCGCCGCCGGTGGCCACGGAGACGGAGCGGGCGATGGGCTTGGCGGCAGAGGCGCTGTTGGGGCGTCGGGACGTGGGTGGAGGGAGCCCCGTCAGACTGAGGTCCAAGCCTTCCAGGCTGCCTCCGGGGGGCGCAGGGGGGCTGCTGGAGGCCTGGGAGCCTCTCATGGTGGACGGGAGGGCCCTGGGCAGGTGAGAAGTGCGATGAGCCCCCCAGAACTGGGTCCGTGCACCCCACCTCGGGCCAGGCCGGGGGCCTGGGGCATTGGCCTGCTGCCCCCAAGCTCCCTGGGAAGGCGGCAGTCCCCTCCTCCCCCCGCCCCAAAGCCAGGCCCACAGCAGGACGGCGAGCGATGAATAGCACAGACACGGCCTCCGGGGACAGGGCCACCTCTGGCCTTAAAGCCTGCTGGGCCCGGCAGGCCCAACTCCGTGGATGAGTGTCAGCCTAGGAACCAGGAGATCACGGTTCGATTCCCGGTCGGGGCACAGGCCCGGGTTTTGGGCTCCGTCCCAGGTTGGGGGCGTGCAGGAGGCAGCCGGTACATGATCTTCTCTCATCACAATGCTTCTATCCCTTGCTCCCTCTCCCTTCCTCCCTGTCATCAATAATAATAAATTTTAGCTGAAACCGGTTTGGCTCAGCGGATAGAGCATCGGCCTGAGGACTCAAGGGTCCAGGGTTCGATTCTGGTCAAAGGCATGTGCCTTGGTTGCGGGCACATGCCCAGTGGGGGGCGTGGGGGGGGGGGTAGCTGGTCGATGGTTCTCTCTCATCTAACTCTCTATCTCTCTCTCTTCCTCTCTGTGAAAAATCAATAAAATATATTTAAATAAATAAATGAAAATAAAAATAATTTTTAAAAATAAGCCTCGATGGCCCCCAGGCACAGAGAACAGTCTGACCCCTTCAGAGCTGACCCCGCCCATGGCCTGCTCACGCCCCTCTGCCCCTCCCTCTGCTGCAGCCACAGCCTCCCTGGGGCCCGAGGACAGGACTTGGGGACCGGCCTGGGCCCCTCCCTCTCCTGCTCTAGCTGGCTGCACCGGCCACGGCCACGGCCACGGCCACGGCCACGGCTCCTGGCCACGCGGGGCCTGTGCATCCTCTGAGCCTCCGAAGGCAGCAGCCGCGGGAGGACAGGCCTCGCTCGGTCAAGAGCCCCGGCGGGCACACGCCCACGGCCCCGCGGCCAGCGCTGCAGCCCGGCCCTGCCACCGCCAGGCCCGCCGCCAGCCCGCGTTCCCGCCTGTGCGGGGAGGCAGCCTCCCGGCGGACCGCCGGCCGCCCCCTCCCCGGCCGCAGCCCCGCAGCCCGGCCTCCCGCCCCGAAGCGGCGCCCCGCGGGCAGCGGGTCTGGGGGCCGGGCCGCGCGGAGGGGCCGGGCTGCCGCGGTGCAGGCCCCTCACCTCACGTTCCTCACCTGCGCGGGCCGCCGGGCTGGGCCGCGGGCCGGGCTTCGGCCGCCCGCCTCGCGCCCGCGCCGGCGCCAGCACCGCGGCCGCGGCGACAATGAGCGGCCGGGCGGGACGGCCGCGGCTCTAGCAACCAGCAAACAGCCGCACCGCCGCCGGGCCTCCGAGCCCCGCCCTCCCTGCCCGCGCCGCGCCCGATTGGCCCCTCGGCTGGCCGCTCCGGCAGCCGCGCGAGCTCATTGGGCCGCGCGGCTGTCTTTCAAGCCTGGGAGGAGCCGCAGAGACCCGCTCCACCGTAGCAGCGGGCTGCCGATTGGACGCGGCCGGCCTGAGGGCGGGGCCTCGGACGGGGCGGGCGGGGCCTGGGCAGGAACGAGGGGCCGGGGAGGGCGGCGGGGAGCCAGGGGGTCCCCCAGCCTGTGGGCACCCACGCCGCCCTCGGCACGCACAAAACCCTGGAAATTTTTGTATTTCCGGTTTTGCTGAGTTTCTTCTCATGAATGGATGTGGGATTCTGGCTCTTGCTCTTTTTGCATATTTCTCATTAGTGTGCGAATTACAGATTTTCAGGTATGAAACCAGCCTTCCACACCCACGATAAATCCCACTTAACGTGATGTATTGTCCACTCATACTCCTTTTATATATTGCTAGGTTCTTTTTGATATTTAATTTTTTATTTATTTATTTTTTTTTTTTGCTTTTTGCTAGTATTTTGTTAAGGACTTCTTTCATTTATGTTATAGATCAAGTGCATATGGCCCATTCCCCAACAGACTTATAGTCTGGACCACAAAACACACATTAGCAAAAATCTGAAATTTTTTACAATAAAATGTAAGTCATACAAAATGCTAAATGATTGCACCAATTAATAGGAGACACACATATCTTTAAATAACCCACTGGACAAAAAAGGAGATCTCAGGGGAGCTAGCGACCATCCCGAACGGAATAAAATAAATCAGCTCCTGGGATGCAGGCAAAGCAGAAGAGGAGTTACAGCATTAAAATGCTTTATATTAGAGCATCATGAAGTTCTCAAAAAACCATCCACGCTTCCACCTTGAAGAACTAGAAAAATACAAACACCACTGAAGGTAGTAACAGCAGAAATCAATGAAGTAGAAACACAAAAGCTACGGAAAAATAAAAGCAGAAGTTAGTTCTTTGAAAAGTTCAATCTTAATAAACTTCTAATCAGACTAAGAAAGAGGGGAAAACACTGTCAATGTCAGAAATGAAGGATGTCTCAAACCGCAGAGGGAAAGTAGGGGAGGATGGGGGTGAGGGGGAGAGATCAACCAAAGGACTTGTGTGCACGCACATGGCCTAGCCAGTGGCCATGGACAGCAGGGGGGTGGGGGCATATGTGGGGAGGGGTTTGGGATGGGAATAGGGGGATGAGCACAATTATGTGATACCATAATCAATAAAATTTTTAAAGAAATGAAGGATGGAACATAAACTAAAAGGACAATTTGACAACTTTCATGAAATGGACTGATCCCTTAAAAAACACAAGTAACTGAAATTCACAATGAAATATATGACTCAAATAGTCCTATATCTACTTAAGAAATTGAATTTCAAAGTTAAAAACTTTGCAACTAAGAAAATTATAGGATCAGATAGTTCTACAAAACATTTAGGAGAGAAATGATGGCTGTCCCTAACTGGAGAAGTCCCCCTTCGTACGGGTATCGCATTCAAGTGCAAGCGTGCACACACTCTCTCCCTCTTCCTCTCCCTCTCTCACACACCCACACTCACACACACCACACAAGCACACTTACACACACACATATACACACACTTACACACACATACACTCACACACACATACACACACACCACACAAGCACACTTACACACACACACTTACACACTCACACACACCACACACACACACACATACACACACATACACTCACTCATACATCCACATTCAAACACACATACACTCACACATACACTCACACACACACACACATACACACATACACTCACACTCACACACGCACACTTACACATACACACACACACCACACACGCACACTTACACACACACACACACACACACATATACACTCACACATATACACACACACTCACACTCATACACTCACACTCACACACATACACTCACACCCACACTCACTCACACACTCACACGTGAAGGAAAAGCACTCAGTGAGACAACCGTTTATTCAGGAAGCTCCCTGAGGGGCCGCCCTGCCGTCTGCAGGAAGCAGCCTCGGCAGAGGGTGCCCTCAGCCACAGGGCTGCCCCAGGCTGCCCATGGCCCTGCAGGAGGAGGGCTCTGAGCTCACAGATAAGCCTGGTTCCAAGCCACACAAACCCTTCTTTCCGAGGCCCTGCCGCCCGCCTCCCTGCGGCCACGGGAGGTCCAGGCCCGGAGCAGCCTCTGGGAGGAGGGAGACCGAGCAGCCCAGGTCTGTCTTCCCGGCTGGCCCCTCCGACACGCCCCAGGAGACAGCTCGGCAGGTCTGCCTCCGAGCTCAGTCACCAGCCCCCTCCTTCCCACTGCACGGGGCGGGGGCCCCTCTGCCCAACGGCATCTGCAGATGGACCACGGGACGGACAGTGCTCAGGCGGCCAGACCAGGCGGCCACTGCCAGCCTGCACCGAGCTCAGCCCCTGGGCCCGCAGACACTGGGGGCTCTGCACCACCCCATCCAAGCCCTGCCAGCCGTCCCCGCCTCCACGTGGTTCTGGCCAGCTCGTGGCTCCTGCTCGCTCCCAGACGGCTCGTCCACGCCGCGCTCACCTGGCTGGCTGCTCCCCGCACCAAGGCCTCAGGGTGCGGGAGAGGCCGACGCAGACCGAGCGGAGGGCCGAGGGCATGTGCAGCCACCGCCGGGTCATGAGTTCAAGAAGGCGAAAGCCGAGGGCTCTGAGCCAGGAGGCTCTGGGGCCGCCGCCCTGGGTGCCAGCGTCCACGGGGGCTGTGGGGGCTTCTGGTCACCAGGGCCCGCCTGCACCAGGCGGGGGCAGGCCACCAGCTCCATGCCAGCGAACAGGGACGTGTGGCTGCCGCTTGGGCCTGGGCCGGATGCCAGTTCTCCGTTCAGAGCGTCCGAGCCCGCCCGGGCCTGCTCCGGGCTGGCCTCCTGGTCTCTGGGACCTGCCAGTCTGGGCTCGGCCTTCCTGGGGTCCCCAAGGGCTGGGACAGGGCGCCCACCCAGGGCGAGAGGGGATGCAGGGCCCCTGGGGGAGGGCAGGACTGAACTCAGAGGCTGGAGGAACTCGGGGGCCCCGGCGAGAGGCAGGGCATCCGTCAGCAGGTCAGCCGGGCCGGCGCTCGGGGTGGCGGGGTGGGGCTCGGCCAGCGGCCTCCGGGCGGCGTGCTGTCGGCAGGAAGCTTCCAAGTGCCTCAGGATCTGGGCGGGAGGAAGGGGCCTGGTGAGGGCCCAGTGGTCCTGGGGGCCCCGGAGGGCGCACCCCCTCTCCGAGCCTTCCTTGGCGCTGCCCAGGCAGGGCCCGCCGGGCGGAGCGGGCTCCGGGCCGGTCCTCCATGGGCCGGCTCCGCTGCCCTCCCCCCCGGAGGCCTCGAGCTGCTCACACTGGGCACACAGGTGCCCACGACGCCTGCGACCTCCCCTCTGCTGCCTCATGAACAGCTTCCCGGCCATCGACCCGCGGCCCGGCCCGCGGCACAGGCAGAGGCGTGGCCCGCGGCACAGGCAGAGGTGCCGGGAACGGCGTGCCTTCAGCCACCGCAGTCGCCCCGAAGCTGGGATGAAGGACGACTCGGGGGCTGGACACTGAGGATCTGAACTTGCACGGCCACAGAGGAAGCGGGGTGAAGCGGAGGGGTGCCACAGGCAGGGGAGCTGCGGGCCTGGCTGTGGGGGTGTGGGGGACGGTGAGAGCCCAGGCAGGGAGGGGCTGCCCACTGGGGAGCCGAGCACAGACCGGGAGCTGTGACACGAGTGGAGAAAGTGGAACAGACCCACCCGAGCAACCAAGGAGGGCTTCCTACTGGAGGCGGCACGAGAGCGAACCAGGGGGAGAGGAGGCCCCCACAGGGCGGAGCTGCTGGGCAGGAAGGCGGTGAGCCGGCAGGGAGGCTGCGAGCTGCTCTGGAGCACGGCTTGTCCAGGGCGGCGAGCGGCAGGGAAGGGGCCTGCCTGGGGAGGACTGGAGGGACGGGGCCCCCGCACCCACTCCCCTGGGCTCGGCGCTGCCCACCTTGGTGGCCTTGCTGGTCACGGGCCCGGGGTGGCCGGCGCTGAGCTCCTGCAGGCGTGGCCCGGCGAGGAGCAGCAGGTGCTCCTGGGAGAGCAGGTCCGTGCACCCCAGGGCGGCGATGGCGCCCAGGGCTCTCTGCGGGGCGGGAGGGCGTCAGCAGGCTCCACGGAAACCGAGTCCCCAGGACCTCCTGGCAGCCCCTCTGCCCCCTGTGCTCGCCCCCCACCCCCTCCCGGGCAGACCCAGGAAGGGGTCCCGGGCCCGCCCGCCCGCGCCCCCTCACCATCTGCGCCTGCTCGCCGGGCCGGCCCAGGCGGCGGGTCAGCAGCTCCAGCACCGCCTCGCAGTTGAGCAGCCCACACCTGCGGGGGGCACCAGGGCAGGTGGGCGGGCGGCGGCCGGGCCCTCCCTGGGGAGCGGGGGGGGGGGGGGGGGAGGGAAAGGAGGGGGCGCCTTGGTCGGGGGCTCACTCTCTGATGAAGCGCTGAGCCTCCTCGGGGCTCATGGAGGGGTGCGGCCCCTGTGTCACCCTCTGGACCAGGCTCAGCTCCTGCTGGCAGTCGCTCAGGGCCATGGCCTCCACCCTGCAGGGCACAGCGGGTGGGCAGGCCGGCCTTCCAGGTCACGCCCCCGGGCAAACCCTGACAGTGAGAGCACGGAGGGGCCGGGCACAGCGGGCGGGCAGAGGGCCGCCTTCCAGGTCACGTCCCTCTGGTCGGGACCCCGAGTGAATGCTCACCTCTCAGCCTGGTCGCTGGGCGCCCCGCTGGCCCCCGAGGGGCTGTCACTGCCGGACCAGGTGCCTGAGCCCGAGGCCCTGCTCCGGCCGTTCTCCTGGCAAGAGCCAGGGCTGCTGTCCTGCTCGTCCCAGCCCCCGCCCGCCTGGCCCGGCTGGTGTCTGGCGGCTGGAAGAAAGGTGACCGCGGTGAGACCCAGGGCCTCAGACTGGCCTCACACCGCCTCCCGGGGACCCCAGACTGGGGCCTAGGGGCCAGAGAGGGTGCTCCCTCACACAGAGGCAGGGCGGACCCATGGCATGGGGCTCAGGTCGGGGACACCCCGGTCCTGTCTCACAGCACATCGTTCTCAGTCAACCTGAGCTGCTGCCCAGACACCCGGACGCCCGGGCCAGAGGCAGAGCCGCCCAGACGGGCACCCACCGCTCAGGACGAAAGGGTTCTGGCCCAGCCCACGCCCGGCCCTGCACCTGGGAGCTGGGGCCTTGGCCTCAGCCAGCCCCACCCACCCATGGCCGTCCCACACCGAGCCCACGCTGGGCAGCACGGCCTGCGTGCAGCCACCAGGGGACGCGGGTGGCATTGGTGTCAGGTGGGGGGGCTGCCGCCCTCACATCGCCCCCAGCTGGAGTCCCCCCTCCCCCCTCCCCCGCTCCCCCCAGCAGGCGGCAGGAAGGAGCCCACGGACGAGAAGTCAGACCCGGTACCTCGGGCACCCGGGAGGGCGCCAGGGGGCGGGCTCCCGGGGGCGCAGCGGCCGTGGCTGGCGGGAGACGTCGCAGCGGGCTGGTAGGCGTCCCCCTGCAGCCGGGGCCCCTGGGAGCCGGGGCCCTCGGGCCCAGGGCGCACGGCGCTGGCCACCACCTCCGCGGCCTTCTGGAGGGTGGCGAGAAGGGCTTCCCCCGTGGAGCCTGCACAGAGGACAGGGGATGGCGCCGGCCCAGGGCCTCCTCTCCAGGGCCCGAGCCTCCGCGGCCGAGCGGTGACCCCGGGCAGCACAGCGGCCGGACTCGGCCACGCCCTGACTCCTGTGGCCCCCGCTGTGGACTGCCACCCGCTCTCGCACCCTCCCGCCCACCGCCCACCCAGAGCCCGGGCAGCACTCACCCGCGGGGCGGGGCTCCTTGCTGTAGCCGAAGCCCTGGAGGGCGCTCTGGGGCCGGGACTGGGAGCCCATGCCTGCGGGGGCACCCGAGTCACCCCGATACTTGGAGAGGAGGTCCCTGGGCCCACCCCGGGGAGCCCGTGACGCTGGACAAGGCTGCGTACCTGCGGGAGGCAGGGCCCTGGGAGGCTGGGCGGCGGGAGGAGGGGACAAGGTGTCCGAGAACAAGGTGCTCCCCAAGTCCTAGACAGGAGTGAGGTGCTCAGCACGGCCACACATCCGACTGTGCCCCTGCCCCCCCCCCCCCCGAGGGCCACCCAGCGGGAGCCGCGGCGTCCCCGGGGAGCTGGTCCGGGCTCACCTGGGCGGCCGCCCGCACCTTCTGGTACAAGCTGTTCCCGTGGAGAGGGTCCGGGGGCCCCGTGAACCCTGCAGGGCAGGAGGGCAGCTGAGTGGGCGCTGCCCCGGACCCCAGCCGCCCCCGCCCCACCGGGGAGTCCCTGAAACAAGGTCTGCCCTCCTCCCCCCCCCCCCCCCCCGGCCTGGCAGCTGAGGGCTCCCACAGCACCTGGGAGCCAAGGCAGCTAGGCCCTGTCTGGTGCTGCCCCCTGGGGCGGCCTGTGAGGTGGGTCTGGCCTGAAGGGCAGCCCTCCCTGACTCCTTCAGGGCCCGTGGGGATGTGGGGACGGGGCACCCCGAGACTGACCTGGGCCAGGACTCCCCCGACTGAGGGGAGCTCTCAGGCCCCACGCCCACAGTCCTTGCCAGGGAGACGCACAGCCACCCCGGCTGGGGGTGAGGGGCAGTGAGGGGCTCCACCAGACCACCTGGCGCCCAACCAGGACGGGCCAGGCCCCGCTGGGGAAGCCTCAGAGGTCCCTCCCCGCTCCCCGCCCCTAAGGCGTATACTGTGCTTCCTCCCCTCGGCCAGGAGCTGCCCTGTGGCTGGGTACCGAGTGTGCCCGCCGGGCGCGGGGACAGGCAGCGGACAGCCGGTCCTAGCAGGGCACCGGCCGCTGGAGAGAGGAGGACCCCACAGGTGGAGGAAGCAGATCTGGGGGCAGAGGGCCCAGGTGGGAGCAAGGGTTTGGGGGGCCCGAGGGGCGGGGCCGCGGGGCTGAGGGACTCGCCGGCTGGTACCTGCCGCTTCCTGGATGAAGGCGGAGTTGCGCTTGAGGAGCAGCAGGAAGGAGGAGGAGCCGTGGCCACACAGGTGCTGCATGATCTTCAGCACCTGGCGGACGGTCACGTGGGCGGGGCCAGGCCCGGCCCCCCACCCACCCACCCCGGCCTCCCGCCTCCCGCCCCTCCCGCCTCCCGCCCCTCCGCCTCCCACCGGGTGTGAGCTCCGGTGGACCTGACCCCCGGGGGTCCGCGGCCACGCCGGCCTCACCTTGAGCTTCACGCGGCCGGAGCCGCTCTGCAGGCGGCTCAGCAGGTACTCCAGGAGGCACTGGCTGCTGCCCAGCGACTCGTGGGAGATTTCTGGGGGGCGCTCGGGTTAAGGAAGGATGGAGCTGACCGGGGCCTCCGTCACCGAGCCTCTCCGGTGCCCTCCCTGCGGGCACCCAGCCCAGGCGGGGTTTCAGGAGCACCGGGCACCGGGGGCCGCCCTGGCTCCTGTCCTCGGAAACGCGGCTCCAGGCCCGGCCGCACCCGGCGGCTCAGGGGCCCGGACGCCGCGGGCAGAAGCCCGGGGCCTGCGGGACGGAGGATACTGGCGATCTCCGCGAACAGGTAGCCCGGACACGGCACGTCGTCGTCGGACGTTGCCTTCAGGAGGATCGGGAGCTGGAAGGCAGCGAGAGCGCCGCCGTGAGCGGGTGGCGCAGGGGCGAGCCCACGGGGCCCCCAGCGGGGCCAGCCACCCCGGGGGCTCCTGGGGGCACCGTGGCTGGCGCTGCCCAGCGATGGTCCCGCTGGCGGCGGGCGGGAGGGTGGAGGGGCAGCCAGGCCGCTCCGCTGACAGCGGGCAGGGCCCTTGCACATCCCCTGGCGGAGCCCAGAGCAGAGGGAAGCCCTTCCCCGGCGGCGGCGGCGGCCCGTCTCCCCGGTGCAGGGCGGTGGCACGGCCCCCACGCCGGACGCACCACGGCGGGACAGGCCGCAGGGAGGAGCCGAGGGAGGGGCGCTGCCCCCGCCGCGCGTGGCCTTGTCAGCGCTGCCTCCCCAGCGCGGGGAGCGGACCGGAGCCCCGTGCCCCACGCGCCTCGCCGGGAGGCGGCGCAAGGCCTCGGGGACGCGAAGGCGCCGCCTGGTGTCACACGTGCCCGGCTGTCACGCCGGGCTCAGTGCTCCCGCCGCCGGCAGCAGGGGGCGGGGCGGGGAGCCGGCGGGGGGCGCGGAGCCCGGGGGGACCGGGGCACGGGGACCCCGGCGGGAGGCGGGCGGCTGTGGCCCAGGGCGAGGCGGCGGAGGCGGCGCGCAGCGGGGTGGGCCACCCGCTCTCACCCGGTGCAGAAAGCTGAGCCGGTCTCTCAGCAGCGGCGCGGCGGCCATGATGCAGGTCACCTTCCGGCCCTGCCCCGATCCCAGCCCCTCCAATCACCGCGCGGGTCTGGCCCGCTGACCAATCGCTCGCGTGGGGCGGGACCTGAGGCGGACTTAGGTCAACAAGTTGAGCCTTAACCAACCCGAAGTCTCAGATGAATGACAGACAGCTTCCCAGCCAATTGTAGGACTCCTGGAGACCGCGGTTCCGGAGAGATCCAGGCGAAGGCTGAAACCTGACCCATTAGAAAGCTGGAGAAAGGTGATGGACGGAAGCGTCAACCTATCAAGGGGTGGTTTCCCGGAAGGGGCCGGACCCAAAATGGCGGCGCCCACGGGTACCAGGAAGAGGCGCTCATGTCGGGGAACGGAGCGGTGTGGGGGCGCGTGCGATGCCGCCTCCGCGCCTTCCCCGAGCGCCTGGCGGCCTGTAGGGCTGAGGTGAGGAGCTGTGGGTCGGGGCAGCACCTGCGGGACGGGGCGGGGGTTGGGGCGCTGGCGGAGGGGCGGGGGCTGCGCCGGGACCCACGGGCCCCGAGGCCGCCACGACCCTGTCCCGCGCCGCCCGTCCCCAGGCCGCCGCCTACGGCCGCTGCGTGCAGGCGTCCACGGCCCCGGGCGGCCGCCTGAGGAAGGACCTCTGCGCGCAGGAGTTCGAGGCCCTGCGGCGCTGCTTCGCCGCCGCGGTAGGTGGACGCGCCCTCCCGGCCCCGCCTCGGCGAGTGTCCCGCGGGCCTCCCTTCCCTCCCGCGGGCCGTGTCGGGCACAGGCTGGAGCTGCCGACCCTGCACCGCGGCCCCGCCGCCAGGAGCCCCTGTGCCCGGCAGGTGGGGAGCGTGGCGGGTGCGTGGCAGCGCCTTGTGAACCCGTGGTGCCGTCGTCAGGGGGGGTGCGGGGGGTGCTCCACCCGGAACCCACACCCCGCGGCCCAGCCCCGCTGCATGTGGCCCCCTCCTCCGGGAGGCACTAGCGGGAGGACGGCCTTTGCCTGGCCGCTGTCTGTAGGGAACCGCGCGTTCAGACGAAGCACCTCCTCTTCCAGGCCAAGGACGCCCTGAAGGGAGGCCCCTAGGCCGGACGGGGACGCAGGGCCAGCGCCTGGAACACCCGGAGCCCTGGGGCGAAGGCACTGGGCCGCCCCGCCGGAGCAGCCGTGGACACGGGTTAGAACGGGCGGGGAACCAGCCGGAGGCCCATCGGGTCACACCCGGGGGCACTGGGGGTGCGCGGCCCGGCCTCGCCCCCAGGAACCCGGCGGGCGCGGGACGCTGCCTCCCGAGTCTCGTTTCTTAGAGAATTCCCACCAATAAAATGTCTCCTGAACCTCAGGACGCTTCTGGACGTTACCTGGGGGCCTTCGCGGAGGGCGGGAAGCTGAGGCCAGGGCGGGGTAGGAGCCCAGCAGCTTCTAGGCCAGCGAGCCTGCAGGCCACCCCACCCCATGGGATGGGAGCCGGGCCCTGTCCTGAGAACCACACAGGCCCCAGGCCTCAGCCCACAGCTCCTGGGCGCCACCCACTGGGAGCGTGGGCTGCTCTGAGACCCTCTCCTGGGGCACAGAGGTCACATGGTCCTTGGGCTCCCCGCCCTGGCGTCCCTGAGCCTCAGAACCGGGCCTGCACTTCCGTCTCTGCTTAAAACTCCAGAATTAGCCTGACTCCCCAAGTGGTGAGACCTCCAGGTCTCAGACACGAGTGTCCACCTCAGTGAGATGGGCCTTGGTAGCTTCGTGGGGCGCCGGCCCTCGTCCTGAGCTGGGGCTGCTGGGCGGTCACGTTTCACAGCAAGCCCTGGGTCTCCAGACAAACCGGTGCCCCCGCCCCCGCCCCCGCCAGGGTGAGGGAGACATTCCTGCTGGGCACGTGGGCCTGTCTGATGCTGCCCAGACCTCTTCTCCCTGACCCTTCCTCCCTCCACTCTGACCTCTTTGACAGCTTTTGGCATTTCCACTGGGCACACCGGTCCCACCTGGTGCTCCCTCCTGCCACCCTTTCCAGCTCCTACCACTGGGCCTCATCTCAGGCCACTGCGGGCTGCTCTGCTGCCAGCCGGGGGCACCACAAGCACCCACCTCCGCTCCCACAGCCCCACAGGATGCCCAGGGCTTCCCCGGGAACGAGCAGCCCAGCACGCAGGGCTCCCTCCCCAGACCCCGAGGAGTCAGCTGGGCAAGCTGCCCAGTGCATAGACCTGTAACAATTTAAAAACGGCCTGGCTGGTGTGGCTCTATGGTTAGAGCGTCTGCCCACACACAGTGTCGGGTTCGCGTCCCAGGTGAGGCAGTTCATTCCCCGTCCCATCAGGCACAACCAGCCAATGCGTCTTTGACATCTCTCTCCTTCCTCCCTCTCTTTCCCTCTCTCCCTCCCCCTGCCTCTTTCCCCTCCAGACCTTCCTAAGTTCTCTGAAAAGCAATGGGAACAAGATCCTCACATGAGGACAAACACACACTCTCCTGAGGCCAGGGTGGTGGGACCCTCAGCAGGCTCCAGCTGGAGACCCCCGCCCCAGAGGGGGGAGCCGGATGCCCACCCCCCACAAAGCAGGGAGGCCCTGGGCTCATGGGACAGCTGGTCCACCTGCCGGCGGCTCCAGGGGCTTTTCTGCTCCTTGGAAACCCGACAGGTGAGCGGGCTTCAGCGGGGACGGCCGAGCCTGGCAGCCCCAGGAGAAGGGCACCCACAGTGGCTGCTGTCTGCCGGGAGGCCCATCCTGGGCCGTGTGTGGGGCCTGGCACTGGGCCCCTGGCTGTGAGGTCCGTTCCGTCCTGCACACCTTCCTCCGGTAACACCTCACACGCGCCACCCACCGGCCTGGAAGGTTTATTTCTGAAGCCGGGGTACTTGGGGGACAAGGGGCGGGGAGCAGGGCCGTGTGGTGGGCGGGGTGCACTCAGGCAGCAGCGCTCGTGGTCAAGGCAGAACGTTCACTAAATTTTCTACAGCTCGTGAGGCCAAACTCAGGCGTGATCGGGGCCGGGACCGGTCAGCACCGGCGGCAGCGGCCCTCACTCACACCACAGCTGCACGGACCTTCTCGGGACACGGGGGGCCGCAGTGAGCCGGTGACCGGACAAGTTCAGGCTGCGCGGCGAGGGCAGAGGCCGCTCGGAGAGGACGCAGGTCGGTGGAGCCTCCGGGACCGGCTCCAGGCTCACTGGCGGCCTGGCCGGCTGCAGGGCCAGCAGACCGGGGGCCGGGCGCCCTGCAGCCTCAGGCCTCCTCCGGGGCCCCGGGCAGCTCTTGGAGCTGGCGGCTGTGGCCCACCTGCAGGGCGCCCCCCGCGGCCTGGCGGAGCCGGGCGTCCAGGGCGCTGCGGAGGTCGCCGACCCGCACGTCAGGCAGGGGGTCCAAGTGGACAGCGACCCCCTCGTGGGAGACCAGTCCCTCGTCCGCAGGAGCCGCGTCCCGCCGTCTCCTCCTGAGGTCGGCGCCAACCTGAACTTTCAGGTCTCGGTTCGGTTTGACATTGTCCAGCTCTTGAGCCCCGGGCACGGCCTGTTGGGGCCCGAGCTCAGGGTCTGGCTTCTGCTCGGGCGTCTGGATGGCGGCGTCTTGCCTGGGGACAGGCACGTGGTCCCCACCCAGGGCCTCCTTCTTGGCCTCTGGGTGGCCTCCTTGGGCCCTGACGGTGAAAGCTCGGCGTTCCGGCTGATGGAACCCAGCCGGGGCCCTAGGGGCTGCTCCCTCCGACCTGCTGGGCAGGCCTGCAGCTGCCCGGTCCTGGCTCACTTGCCGGGGCTGCACTGGAGGGTCCCCTGCCCCTGCCCCAGCTCCCAGGGCACCTGCGGCTCCCGGAACACGGGCACCAGCAGCTTCTGGAACATGGGCACCGGCGGCTGCTGCCTCCTGGTGGGACTTGTTCCTCTCCGGAGGGCCTCCGCCAAGAACGCCCGGACCCTGTCCAGGGGCGGCCCCGGCATCGGGCTTCTCTGCGCTCCTGGGGACCCCAGCAAGATGGGGCTCTGGGGCCCCCTCCCGCACACCTGCCCCTTGGGGCTGGGCGCCAGGCTGGTCTTTCCTGGGCTCTGTGTCCACACCGCCCAGAGCCCCCTGGGGCTCCTGCAGGGAACGCTGGCTGTGTCCCTGGGGCGGAGCAGGGGGCTGCCCGGGAGCCCTGAGCTCGGGTTCCAGAGGCTGCAGCGGGGGGTGCGCCACTGTCGCCGCGTCCTGGGCCTCCTGCTCCTTGCTCCTCGGTGCGGCCACCCCAGGCTCGGCCGGCGCATCCACTGAAAGTGAAGGGACTGGTTCAGCCCAGGAACGAGCAGAAGCCACTGATGCCGGGACTGAGAGAACAGAGCCCGCCACCAACACCTGCCCAGCAGGACTCAGGCCCCCCCCCCCCCCGGCACTCACCGTCCTCGCCGTCCGGCCGCTGCTGGTGCATCTCCTTGTGCTGCTCCTCGATCACCGCCAGCAGCTTCTCCTGCTGGTCCAGGAGGCGCTTCTGCTGCACCTGCTGCTCCTTGATCACCTGCAGCAGGACCTCGTGGTCCAGCCTCTCCACGCGGCCGGCGTCTGGGGGGACACACCGTCAGAGCCCGCGCCGCCGAGCACGCCAGGCGCTGCGGGGCCCTCCCAGGATGCCCTCGGGCAGGGTGCCCTCTGCTGGTCCAGGAGGGGGGCTCGGCGTGTTCTGGCACAGCCGGGGGCTCAGGCACCACGGCGGAGCCCACGGGGCCCGGCCCGGCGGCACCGTGTCACCTGGGCTCGGTGGCTAGCTGTAAACACTTTGGGAAAGAAGGCTGTGCCTGCAGGACAGCTCCTCCAGGGGGGTTTGAAAACAGAACTGCTTCTCTCACACAGCGTCCCGCTGCCTCAGCCCCACCCACACAGGCTGCAGCCGGCTGCGGGGGCCACGCGGCAGTGTCCAGGGGAGGCCCGAGGCTGGGCCCCGTAGCCCCCACCGGATGGGAGCCCCTCCCCTCCGATCGCCAGCAGGGCGGGCGAGCAGTCACGACCCCTGTGGCTTTAGACGCTTGGCTGACATGTGACTGGGCAGAGGAAGAAGCGTTTGCAGCGGAGGGCCAACACCAGCCATGCCCGCCTGCCAGTGCCACTTCCCAGGGACTCAGTTTCTCCCGCTGGAGAGGGCGTGGGTGTGCAGGCCACGGCCTGAGAGGAAGGCTAAGGCTGCCCACGGGGAGGACGGACCCCCAGCAGTGCCCACCCAGACACCCAGGGCACCTGACACCTGCCTAATGAAGGCCACGGCCACGGGTGGGGTCAGGAACCCACACTCCCTCTGGGTGAGGGAGGCACAAGGACCCCCAGGCCACCTGCCTCGGCACCCACGGCTCACGACCGTGTGCTGCTGGGGGTACAAGTGGCCCCAACGGGTCCCAGGCGGGCTCTGGAGGTGCTGCCCACTGGCTCCCAGAGAACCAGCCTGCACCAACGCCAGAGGGGCACACGGACAGGCATGAGGCAGAGTGGAGGTGACATGCTGTGCCCCAGCCCGAGCCCACGGGATCACCTGCAGAGGGGTGAGAGCTGCCGAGGCTAACACACATGCAGAACGTATGAACACAGGCCATGCACACGGCACAAGTTACACGGCCCCCTCCCCCGAGGCAGGGCCTCTAAGACGGAGCCATCTCGGCATTTGTGTGAGAAGGGGCAAGTTGGGGCATCGGGGACCCCAACAGGGGCTGGAGGGTGTTGCATGTGTAGCTCCCGGGCTCTGCCCACGTGCTCTGTGCCGGGCCGTCACGTGACCGCGCGCCCATGCAGCCCTTGGCTCCCCCGACCCTCACGCTTCGCTGGGACACACGCCTGCAGCCTACCTGCTACTAGCTTTTTGATCTCAGCTGCGCGTCCCGGGGAGAGGCAGAGGGAGAGAGGCAGAGGGGAGCGTGAGAAGTCTCCCCGAGGGAAAGACCAAGAACCACAGCGGAGGCGGGGCCGAGGCGCCGGGACGCAGGGAGAACCCCGAGCCCGAGAGCCAGGCCCACACACGGCTGAGGGCGCAGCCGGGTCCCGAGCCAGGCGATGGCGCCGACTGTGCGGGGGGAGGGAGGGAGAGTGGTCCAGGGCGGGGGCGGTGCCAGAGAGCGGGGCGGGCGCCGGGCTC